ATATGTGAATGTATGTGTGCGTATGTGTGTGTATGTGTATGTATGTGTGTATGAGTATGTATGTATGTGCATGTGTATGTGTGTGTGTGTGTATATGCGTATGTGTGTGTATGTGTATGTATGTTTGTGTGTATGTGTGTATGTGTGTGTATGTGTGTATGTATGTGTGTATGTGTGTATGTGTGTGTTGGCTGCGAAAGTATAAATGCAGACAACTTAGACGTAATTCAACCATAAAATCTTACCCTGGTTTTTCTTCTTTTTTTTCTTTTTTTCATGGAGAGTCCTACATTGGGTGACATTAGACATATCAATGCACCATCATATCATGTGAATACTCGCTAAAGTGTTGAACTGCTTCTGTTGTGCCCCTGGTCTTCATTCGAAATCTCCCATCCGTTTATATTATTACATTGTATCCCTCCCCCCCTCCCCCAAATCTCTTTGTTGTTTTCTTTTTCAACAAATACCTGAGGAGTTGGCTGGTTCTCTGGTGTGGCTTGTTCTTTCTTTACTATCAAATGTCTGTCGTCCGCATGCATCTTTTCTTCTTCTTATTTTGTGTGTTATTCTCCCATGACACATCTAACCTCATGCATTTATAATAATATGACCCTTTTGTGACTTTGTGTTGTAAATGTCACTAAAACTAAAACGGAACAACAACAACAACAACAACAACAACAACAGCAACAGCAACAAAAACCAACAATCATTTATATAATATGAATCTACTCGACATGCGAACACCTCCAGCTGAGACCCATGTAAGAATTGTGTTCCCGTCTTTTTCATCTGATCCGTCCAAGACAATCACCTTTATAAGACAACATGTTATCATCAACAATTGTTGGTCGTCTTAGACAAGTTTGATAGCATTTGAAGACTACAGGGGGAAAACGACGGTAGTCACAAACTGAAAATCGTGATGGTACAAATGTTGAACGCTTGTTCATAACTGTATTTCGATTCAACTGTTGGTTGATTATTGTTCTTTGATTTACCATTAAACAACACTAAACACTAAACAACCAGTCAAACAAATATGAATTTACGAGTCAACAAGCTTTTAAAATTGACACCGTCACAATTTCTAGTTTGTGACTACAGTCGTTGTTCCCCTGTGCTTTTCATTTGTTATTATATTATCATTCTGCCGTGATCCTTTTGTTTCAACAGATCTGAGCAGGTTTGATCGATCAGCAAGATGAGCTCTGGCGTGGAAGGCCCAGGTTCGAACCTGCTGCCCCAGTCAGAGCGCTATAAGATGAACAAACAGATAAGACAACAACAGGTGTGTAAATCACCTTAGTTTATGATTGTGGTGGTATTGGTGGTTGTGGTTATGGTAAAGGTAGTGGTGGTTGTGGTGGTGATGGTGGGGTGGCGGTGGTTGAGATATAAATGGTGGTTGCGGTGGTGATGGGGTGGAGATACTGGTGGTGGTATTAGTGGTGGT